CCAATAATGCGGTAGCTTTTGCAGTGCGGACTCTGCACCTTTATACATAAACCAAGTGTCCATTTACCCCCCATTCCTTCATCTGTCCTCACGCCCAACAAGGACAGCAGCCCACAAGAAGAAAGCACTTGAGAGGATGAGGACAGAACACCTGTGCAAACTAATATCTAATAATTGGCTTATTTATCTCCTCAAGAATTTTGCCACCTCCTGCCCCGGTTTGCCTCTTGATTCCATCATTTGGGGACACCAGTGGGCCTCATACTTCTCAAAAATATAAAAGGAAAACCTACAGCCGAGTGTAGAAAAGAACAAAACCCATACCAGTCCATCCTCCTACAACACATGCTGTTGTCTCGGGGGAGGTCCGGGTGAACTGGCCGCTGTCCAGTTTCTCATACGGCCTGGTGTGCTCTGCTGTGACTATCTGGACTGAACTACACACAAAGTCCATTGCTAGGGTCGATATCTGATGTGGTTTTTCTAAAGCTAGGCAATGGATGTATTCTATCTTTAATGTTCCAAGACTGTTTATTGATTATGAGACGCCCCAAACTTTGGAGCAGCTGGCCTGGGTATTAACCTCCAGCACACCAGGGCACAGTAGCTTGGCTACAGATAATGATGACGGACTGCGTGCATTTGGAAAACTTAGAATGGGGCTAAAGACATGGCTCCAGGGGTAAAGTTACTTCTCACGAAGCCTGATGACCCGAGCTTGATCTCTGAGACCAAGACCAGGGTGGAAGGAGAGGACCGATTCCACACACAAGCAGACTGGCGTGGACATGTGCGCACAAACACAAAATGTAAAAAAAAAAATCATTAAAAAAAGCTACAGTAAAGGTGTTTGAATATTTTCAACAAAGAAATAATGTCTGAGGAGATAGATACCTTAAGTTTTTTAAAAATTCACTTTACTTTTATGTGTATGAATGTCTTGCATGCATGCATCTATGTGTACCAGGTGCATGCCTCTTGAATCCCCTAGATCTGGGGTACAGAGGGTTGTAAGATACCATGGAGGGCTGGAAATCAAAGCTGCATCTTCTCTTAACTACTTAGATATCTACCCAGCTCCAAGATGTTCTGAATTTAAGTAAAATATCACACAAAGTGCTCATGTATCAACATATCATGCCTATGAATATGTATAATTTAAAATGTACAGTAAAAAAGATAAACTTCACTTTAAAAAGTTTCCTCTATATGATTAAATATTGGACTTGTGCCTCTTTAGTGGGTAGGATGTGTCTTTAGAAGACAAACCAGGTAACTTCTGAGATAGGAAAGGATGGAAAGGAGACTCTTCACAAAGTCCCTGGATATCATGACAACCATTAGTACCCAAGAGGCATGAGAACTCCTCTCTATCTTAGGAAGGAAATGGGAAACTCGTTCCTTTCCTTTCCCTATAGTTGGTCTTGTTGGACCAGGTGTCAAAGCATTGGAGGGCTTTCTTTCAGCTGACCTTACAATGCAAATCCAGATCTTCCCAACAATCTGGTCAGCAAAACCCTGCTTTTTCATCAAGATCATGATGCCACCCTTGGTAAACATCACTGTACCCATGAGCTATTCAAAGCTGAGAGCAAATGGTTAGGCAATGATTTGGGGGTGGAGTTTCCAAAGAAGAGTAAGGGGTCCAAGGAAGCATGGTTGGAGCCAATTGGGCCTCTCTTCTCAATTCTAGAATCAAAGAACTTAGAAAACAGGCGAGGTCTGAAAAGGGCTTTGTCATTTGCATAAAAATGGAAATGCTGTGTAATTGTTATGGAATTTTATAGAAAGAAGTGATAACAGGCTAAAACCAAATAAAGTTTAGAATGTCAGAAGGGTCTCTATAATTCGGTGTAGGATGGACTGTGATGGTTTGCATTGTCAACTCAACAGGACATAGAATTACTTAGGAGACACGTTTCTGGGCATGCCTTGAGGGAAGGCCAAAAGCAGGTTAACAGAGGTGTGAAGACCCACCTCAACTGAGGACAGCTCACTTTCACAGGCTGCAATCCCAGACCAAAGAAGAAGGAGGAAGTGAATGCTGTCACTGCTACCTGCTGCCTGACCAGGGACAAGATTGACTGGCTGTTCCAAGATCCTGCCATGATGGCTTTCTTCTCGTGATGCTAAGTAATTATGAGCTCAAATAAACCCTTCCTTCCTTAAGGTGTTTTTATCAGACAGGCTGTTACAGCAACCAGTAATTAATAGACTATTCCATGCTTTAAGAAGCTACTGTGAACAAGCCATGATTTGGGGTGACCAAAATCTGACAGAGAGAATATTAAGCAAGTCTGGAAAGATTGCTCAGTGGTTAAGAGCACTGCCTGCTCTTCCAAAGGTCCTGAGTTCAATTCTCAGCAACCACATGGTGGTTCACAACCATCTGTAATGAGATCTGGTGCCCTCTAGAGGAAGAGACCTGGTCAGTTGTCCTCATCAACTTAGACCATGAAACCCAATATGGACAAGCTCAACAGAACCACCATATACGGGCTGCCCATGCATGCTTCAGCACTGCCAGGGCATACATTTCATTCATTTTTTTTAATACAATGATGTGGACCTAAGGTACAATGTTTTTTTTTGAAAAACATTGGTTTATTCAAAATATTAAGTAATATGATAGGAAAAGACAGCTGATATGTGCCCAGTTACTATTCTCTAATTTTCAAAAAACTAGACAACAATGAATCCAAAGAATTCAGTAGTTGTTTTTAAGTCCCAATTTTGAAGAGTTTTTATAATTTATTTTTCTCTTAAAAACAAACAAACAAACCAGGGTCTCGCTATGTAGTCCTGGTTGGCCTGGAATACAATATAAGAGCTGCATGTGGTGGCACACACCTCAGGAAGCAGAGGCAGGTGGATCCCTATGACTTCAAGGCCAGCCTAGTCTACACAGCAAGACTGAGGCAAGCCAGGGCAACACAGTGAACATCCTTCAAATGATTTCAAATGCTCTCATGTATGCCCCAGAAAACAGAATGTGTTCAGAGAAGGAGGAAGGGGTAAAATTCTTGATGAGCTAAACAAGCCAACCACAAGATCTCAGTTTGCCCAAGGCACCCTTATCTTCATACCTTAAAGGGGTGACCAACCTGCAGCCATGATCTACATGTGCCTAGGGATGGCTACCAACGCAACCAACACAGACTCCTAAGCTCACTTAAAACATTTTTTAATGGTAACTCAGTTATTTAATTTCTGAACACAAATTTTGTCATAATGTTGTGTCACAACGTCAAAAGGCTAGACACGCCTACAGGCTTAAAACACGACTCTCAAGTGGCTCTGCATGTCGAGAAATATGGAGACAGGAGCTTCTCACCATTGCATCACCAGAGCAGTGCGTTAACCCAAGTCATCACCTGGAAGTGAGGCTAGTTCCTCTAATTCTGAGTAAAAACCTTCTGGATTGAATAGGGGAATATCCCTACTATACTGGGGAACAGAGGAACAGTGACAATGGGAACCCCTGCTTCTGGGCAGGGCACTAGCTTGACAGGGGTTTTTTAGTGAGAAAATAAGAAAGAGGTCAAACAAAGGGTTCCTCATTAAGATCTAGCCACACTGGCTTCCCAGGGCTAAGGCATTTGAGGAGAAACCTTTGAATGTCTCAACTAGTTTCTGATGCATCCTGTACGACTTTAAAGGGAATGCCTATTTTCTTAAAAGACGGTTTGGTTCATTCTGACAAAGGTTGTCATGATGCTTCTCACTGTATATATCCATAGTTTTTATCAAGTATATATTTTTATATTAGAAACTTCATCCAGCCAAAGGGTGTAAATCAGTGGTTTGTAGTATACCATCAGGGCTCTAGAAACACTGATATTATCATATATATATTATATTATATTGTATTATATTATATTATCACAAGTTTTTCATTGTACCCCCCAAAAGGAAGTATTACATGTATTAGTAAAGGTCATTGTGTGAATCTAAGTTTCCCTTGCTGTTCAAAGCATTTAAGTCAAAAGATTCTCATTTCCAGAGAGAAGATAAAACGAAGAGAGAAATATGTGTAGGGAGAGTTTGATTATGTCACATAGTGAGTTTGGATCCTGGGTTTTTCTCTCTGAGTTTGATCTCCCTGATCAAAAGGCCCAGGAATTGTGGGCTTCCCAACAGGAGCTCCGTATCACACGGCAGCTGCTCTCAGAGCAGGCACACTTAGGTGGCTGTCACTGGGCAAAGGCTCTTTAGCTGAAATAAACAAACTTAGGTTCAGGCCTCCTCAGAGGACATGGTTTTCACCCACATGCTTCAGATAATTCATCTAAGCGAGAAACTGTACCTGGGAGGAGTGCCGAGCTGAAGTCAGAAGGAAGGGAGGGGCAAAGGCTGCTTAGCCCATATTGAGGTATGTGTCAGTCAGCTGAGACACATCATCCCCCGCTCCCCTTCCCCCTGCAACCTTCGTCTGTTATAGAAAGCAAATCTATATTTCTCCATTTGGCACTCTCCTTTCAGAAAAAGTAGGGTGAAAATTCCAGTTGAGTAACACAAGGCAGGAGGAACAAGTCAAGACCTAAGAAGTCAGGCAGGAGACCGCGAGTGGCTGGCTTATAGGCATACAACTCAAGAGGAAATCTTATCAAAAGACAGAGTCCTCTGGGTGAAAAGATATGGAAAGAGTGAAGAAAACACCTCAAAATAAATGAAGTACTTATTGCTGAAAAATGAGCTTGGCTCTCAACCAACTCCAAAGTTCAGAATTTACTGCACCACTCAGGCCTTCCCCCCAAGTTTCTGGTCTCTTGTTTCACAGCACAACAAGGGATTCTTCATACTTTATGTGAAATACAACAAGACGATTTCTGCAGTAATAAACCCCATGCACGCACGGCAAATCCAGGCACGCAGAATGTTTAACATCCCAGTTCACAGATTCTTTAGGGACAAAATCCGATTATGAATTATATGCCACAATAAATAGGGCTCAATGTTTCATAAAGCAATTTATAGTTCATAAAAATGACAAAATGTACCTGTCAGATAGAGCGCGGAGAGCTGTTCTCTGGGCTGCCTGCTGGAAGAAAGGACAGAGATGTTTATTTAATATTCTGACTTTTAAATTATGCGCTCAATCAACAATCTCAGAAAAACCTGTGTCCCACACACATTTTTGTCAAGCAACTGTTAGCAACATAGTAGAAAGCCCTGCTATATCACGAAAGGAAGGTTCTGGGTTCTGCTGCACCAAGGCACACTTGCCCATAAGAGGCGGAAGTAGGGGAGGTGCTAAGTACACATCCCTGGCTATGAGGGGCGGTCTCGGGAAACACAGCGAAGACCTGAAGTAATTTTTTTCCTATCACCTGAAATTAGTTTTCCATTATTTTATCCTCATTTCCTGTAAGAAAAAAAAACTTTTTATCAACGAAGGCGTAAATCTGTGTTGGCGTGTGTGCTCGCTGATGTGCCCATGCTGGGCACACCTATGGATGCGTGGGCAGAGTCGAGAGGAGGACACTGGTACTTTCCTCCAATGCTCTTTGTCTTGTCCCCCTGATTCACTGTCTCTCAGGGAACCTGAAGCTCTCCATTTTCTCCATGTCAGGTAGTCTGGTTGGTCATCAAGTTCCCTGGATCCACTTGTTTCTGCTGATGCTGTAAGCATATTGTGGGCATGCTGTGTGTGTGTGTGTGTGTGTGTGTGTGTGTGTGTGTGTGTGTGTGTTTTACACAGGTGTTAGAGGTCTGCATTCAGGTCCTCAAGCTCGCAGCACGTACTGTTTACCATGGAGCTATCTTGCCAGCCCCTGAAGATAACATTTTTGACTGGTTTTGTGTTTTGTTTTGTTGTGTTCTTTTAGATTTACTAAAGGTCTCCATATTTGGGAAGTGGATTGCTGTCTGGACAATAACACGGCATTATGAGATCATTGTTATTTTTAGGCACAATCATGATGTTGTGACAACAGTTTTGCTTGTTTGTTTTTTTTAAAGAGCTTTTAGTGACCCGGGGAGCTGGCTTGCTTGGTAGAGGGCCTGCTGTACAAGCAAGGAGCATTGGCGTTTGGATCCCCGGCACCCTTGTGAAAACATGCACACATGTGCATGGCAATCCCAGCTCTGCAGAGCTTACTCCTCACGAGTCTAGCCCAACCAACGAGCTCCAGGTCAGTGAGAGGCCCTGGAAGAGAAAAGAAAGAATCCCTCCAAGACTGAAAGGGAGCAAGTAGGCTGACAGCCACTGTTGTCCTGTAACCAGTCTAGTCTCAAATGCAGTCTTCCTGCTGGTGTCACGCAGCCCACTTCCAACTGACCCTCAAGCTGATGGGCTGCCATCAGGACCTGCATTGGACACCTCTGTGCTTAAGCAGGCTCTGTGGCTGCCTGTGGTTAAGGAGGCTTATCCTGGGCTCCCTACAGATTCACCCTTGGTTCTGACTTCAGCACGGCTTCTCTCAACTCTGCAGCCTCTTTAAGCCTTTTCTGAGCCACTTTGTGGCGGTGTATTTTTACATTAGGTGAGGTATAATGTGTGGTCTGAGAGTTGACGTTAGTCACTGAGACTGGAATGGAGGAACTTGAGATTGCCACTGGCTACCTATTAAGCAAAATTAGGAGCAAACTGCGGCCAATGAGACTGCTGTACTCCGTAAATTTCTGGTTACCCAGTAAGTTCCAATGTTAAGGAACAACAACAAAAGACATGGATAGTGACCGAAGTGACCTCTGGCCTTCACATGTAGGAGCATCTGCACACATGTGTGCATACCTTCACAAGAGCCGTGAGGGACGGGACTAATGATCCAGTCTGAACTTAAAGCTAATTGACTCTTTTCTTCCTTGCCTCCAGAGATTCTTCCTACTGACTTCTAGGACAGGGGTGCGGCAAATGTTGATGAGTAGCTGGTTGGAAAAGGATTCAGAGAGCAAAGGAAGACACACAGAACCAAGAAATGGCCGTGCACACCTGAGGTGCATCCCATAGAGTGGCCCCTGCTTATGACCTCGCAGGATTATGTTGGCGGGTGGAAAGTCTGGGACAAGACTGGCTTTCTTTTAGTAAACCCACAGGATGCTGGCTTAGAGACTGGGCACTCAGCATCCACCCGTCAATGTCTTTTGTCATTCTTCCAGTCTATCAGTGTGATGAATGTCAACACACTGTCAACACCGTGGGACTCAGCACAACTGCTCAAAGTACTATTTATTTGTTTTTAAAACGCTTGAGTTTTGACCGTACTTCTCATTGTAAGTATTCTTCATTATGAAATACTCTACAGAGGACAATCACCATCCATTAAGAAAGGCAACGAGAATGTATTAAACATTTAAAATCACTCTTAGAAAACAGGTATATGACTTCACCTAAGCAAGGAGTGATTACTGAGAAATTTTTGAGCCTACTCTCCTAAACAAAACCAAATCCTTCAGTTTTTGCACCCTGTCTTAATTTACAGTTGGAAAATAGTAGAAGAAATAAACATATATAAAAATATAGAGTCAAGAAAAAACATTACTCAGGTGACTCATGACTGAAGCCATAAATCAGACGGACGGCTCAGTTCTGCTCCTTCAAGAGCTGCCTCGCTGTGACCACACTCTGCTTCCTTAATCTCCCATCAGCTTTTCCTCTAGCTGTCCTCTGATTCAGTCTCCGCGGAGTCACTAGAGAAGGTTAAGAGAACGCTCCACTGATCTCTCCTGAGTGCATTAGTCATTCATGAATGACTCTGAAGCTCAAGTCTCTAAGACAAAACAAGTTTTCTGCCAGAAATAGTCCCTCTCCAAGCTCCCTTCAAGAGATGACATCTTCTCTCTGTCTTTATCTTAACAAGGCTGGCTCTCTGAAACGTAATCAGCAGATATTTTGGTTCCAGGGTATGCTAAATGAATTGCAAGTCACAATCTGTTATTGAAAGGAAATCGAAGAGGAAATTAAACACCCCTTTGTACCTGGGTCTAACATGGGGCAAGTCCATAGACACGGGGATGGGGAGTGGGGATAAAACAAAAGGAAGGAAGAGGCTGGCATTCAGAGGTGGCTCAGAGCCATCCAGTTCTGCGGTGTAAATAGAATTTATGCCTAGATATATAATAAATTTAACAATGTGTAGACACTGGACATGGCATAGGTGAAGAGAAAATAGATTAAGGTCTTCATGGTATCTCTTTGAGTCTGGGTTGGGGCACACATGAAAGGTCCACAGGCACACAATAGTTTGGATCACAGTGCCCATGACTGGGGGAGGATAGCAGGCTACACAATGGAGCAGCAAAATGACTGACAAATGGCTACTGCACACTCAGTTAAGTCTGGAATAACAAGGCCTGGAGGAAAAAAAGAGTATGAGTCCAGAGACGTGGGGGAGGGAAAAGGAGAGCCGCTAGATCAGAGACACGGGGGAGGGAAAAGGAGAGCCGCTAGACCAGAGACATGGGGGAGGGAAAAGGAGAGCCGCTAGATCAGAGATACGAGGGAGGGAAAAGGAGAGCCACTAGACCAGAGACATGGGGGAGGGAAAAGGAGAGCCACTAGATCAGAGACACGGGGGAGGGAAAAGGAGAGCCACTAGACCAGAGACATGGGGGAGGGAAAAGGAGAGTCGCTAGATCAGAGACATGGGGGAGGAAAAAGGAGAGCCACTAGACCAGAGACATGGGGGAGGGAAAAGGAGAGCCACTAGACCAGAGACATGGGGGAGGGGGAGGAAGAAGGGCTAGATGCAGAGAAAACAGCATGAGAGTAAAAGATGCATCAGGCTTAGATCCTGGCTCAGGGGAGAAACTGTACAAGGTCACTGTGGTACAGCTCCGCAGGGCAGTGGGACCATGGCAGAGCAAGAAGAGGTCAATTTCAGGGGCAACAGAGGTCAAGTGTGGGCTTGTGGTTGTATAAGACAACAGGAGATCATTAAAGGGTTTACGTGGACACAAGCTGGGTAAAGCATGCTTGTATATTCTGTGTAACTTCCTGTGACTCTATAATAAAATACAGCGGAGGGACTGTGGATACAGCATCTATTTTCCAATGTCACACTGGATTCTGTTTTGTGTGGCAATTTAGTTTAGAGAAGAAAGGATTAGATGTGAAGTTATTACGAAGCTAACGATGATCAGACAAGGGAACTATCTTACAGTAATGAAGATGGAGAGAACATGGTTACACTCTGCAGCTCTAATAGAGGGGACTGTCTCTGACAGGATATAGCTGGGCAGGTCAGGGATGGCACTGGCACCAGATTTCACACCTGCGCACCTGGTGTGGCTAGAGACCACTCGTGGAGATGTGGGACTTGGGGTGTAGGAGTATGGGTAAACATAGAGTGGGTCTTGTGCTGTTAAGCTCAGCACATGTGGATGTTTACGGACAGATTGTGGGTGTTAGCATGAAGTAGTAGACTGAAGTTGTTAAATGCAAAGCAAACAGACACCAATAATAGGGAGTGGCAGCTTCGTCAGTGTAAGGACCTATGCTTGCACCCCAGAGCCTGAGGAGGAGATACAGTGGCATGCACTGATAATCCCAGCCTGGTGGTTTGTGGGGGGCATGAATCCTGGGGCTTACTATTCAACCAGCCTGTCAGAATTTGCAAGTTTCAGATAAAGTGAGAAACTGTTTTAAAAAAATGAAATAAATAGAAATAGAGGTGAACAAAACCTAAGGTAGATCTCCGGCCTCCTCGCACATATGCACACTCACAGACACATGAATACGCATACACACATACCCTCCTCTTCTGCAAAATACCCATGAGAGTCATAACACCGACACATACAGCTTAAAGTCCTGGATGCATCACTTTGCTATTGTTACCCCTCTTGGCGTTCTCCTCCGTAAGCATCAGTACGGTCCATTTCTAGAAATGGCGTCTGAGAAGCCTTCTGTTCAGCAGGCTTCCTCCTCACCCTGTTCTGTACCACGGTTAGGCAGAGCCAGGGAGGACAATAACCTAACCTCTGTGTGAGAACACTCTGAGAATGACAGGGGATGCTAACCAGATGGCAGGCGGAGGAAGGAGGAGAAAACTGCCTTGGCCGGGTACCCCGGGCTGTCTGGCTGTTCTAATAAAGCCT